AGCTCTTTGTGTTCTTTAAAGATTTTTTTAAGTTTTTACCATATGCATATAGGGAAAACCAATAACCCCCTGGGGCGGGGCCAAATTTGATCTAGGGGCTTTGATTTGAACAAACTTGGTAGATACTCACTAGAAGATGTTTCATGCCAAATATCTAAGCTCTAGCTCTTAGGGTATTTTAAAAGAAGATATTTAAAGTTTTTTCTTTCGGTTGCCATGGCAACCAGAGTTGTGCATGGAATTAAATTCTTTGAACAAATTTTAAAGGTGACCACCAAAGGAACATTACTGTGAAGTTTGGATGAAATTGGCTTAATGGTTTATGAGGAGATGTCATTTAAAGTAAAAGTTTACGGACGGACGAACGAACGATGGACGGACAGACGCCGGACGAAAAGCAATCACAAAAGCTCACCCTGTCACTTTGTGACAGGTGAGCTAAAAATTAAGAATACTTACTTAGTCATTTTGCCATTAAATAAATCATCCCAACTTCAGCAAAGAAAATTCATAAACACTTCGATTACTTTAATTTTCTTTTATTATGTTAATTTTAATGTGTTACATTTCAAATACAATTATCATTTACAAAATATAATTTCATTAACAAATTTGATACATTCACAAAAATTGGTATTTAAGGACAACAAGAGGACCGTGATGGCCCTGAAATCGCTCATCTGTATATAGGCCCCTGGGCCAAGGCCAATTTTATACCAGGGGCTTTTTGAAAATTGATAAAAAAAAGCTCACCATGTCACTTTGCGACAGGTGAGCTAAAAACAATAACAAAACAACAATTGCCTTCTGATGTATCATGAAAAAATATGCTTTTGTGAAATTTAATCATGATTGCCTATTTAAATAATAATAATGTATCGAGGTCAATTTGCTGGCAAAATATGGTATCCAATATTCAATAACATCTAAGTTGTATAATTTCAAAAAAAGAAAAGAAAAAAAAGCATGAATCAAATAATTAAACAGACCATACATAGATAATGAAGTTAAGTCACTGTGTTACATTTCAACACAGGAACTTGAAAATCTGTCAATAATAGCAGTATAGTCAGATTTAAAAGTCCCATTCCAATATAAAATAAGTGTTTTTTTTTTTAAATATCTAAACAGGATATATTTTTTTTAAATCAGACTTAACTGCTATTATTGACAGCATTTCAAGTCCCTGTGATTTCACAAAAGTTGGTATATAGGTTGCAATATATATGTAGTAAAAAATAATCATTTATATAGTACATGTAGTACAGATAATGGGTAAATTAAAATGTCTTGTTGAAACATGTGACAAAATTTATGGTAACATCATTATTTGCATCTTTGAACAGCATAATACAATCAATATTATCACTTGCATAGTAAGACAACTTTTATGTAGTTTTGAGATCAAAAAGGCACTTCAACTGTATATCAACTATAATTCTTAAAGTGTGATGAATATCTAAATCAAAGAAAACAGCTAGCTACATAATAATTGTGAATGCACTTTATTTATAGATACAACTGCAATATTTGTTTACAGAGAAAAGTATCTAAACTTGATATATTTTGCTCCTTAAAGGGTTCAAAGCTACATCTTACAAAATGCTTTTATAAAATTTATCAACAGTTAAATTATATTGGTTCAATAATATTATGGTCGATTCTCTAAAAGACATAGAATGCCTCTTTTATTTAATACTTATGAATATAGTATGTGAAAAAAATAAATGTTCTGGAAGAAAATATTATTCAGCCCAGTTTGGAATTGATTTCCTAAGCCATTCTATTTTAAGGCAATTTACTACCATATTATTTCATGAAGGTATTTTCGAAGTATTCTTTTTTCTTTTAAATTCAAACACTAATTTTTGCAGCAGATTTATACATGTAGTTTTATACACTTTAAGTCTTTTATAGTAACTCCTAATTGTGAAAGGCACTTTATCTAAGAAATAAGCTGCCATACTTACTTTATTACAAAATGAATCCAGGACATATTTCTATTTGGAAACCGTACTATAGATTACATTAATGATTTTTTTCCATTGTGAAAATTTCCTTATTAATACAAGATTATTTCAATTAAGAATGTTTTTCATATTCTTTTATGTATCATTATAATAAAAAGTTTTTAATAAAGTTTTAGATGTTACTTAAATACATGGATTGCATAACAAAACACGTCCCTGAGAACCTTACCATGCTAAATATCTTAAATGAACTTGTCCATGTTTCAATGTGGAGAAATTCCCTTTTTGGGAAAATTTTAATGACTGAATAGCAAACAGTGCAGACCATAATGAGAGAGCACAGATGTAACAGTTGGTCGTGGTCTGCAGTGTTGGCACAATTGTTGATGTCAGTAAGGTTAAATAGCATTATCTATCAGCTAAAGTCTAATTATCAAATATTTTAATTAATTCCGGCAATACCTGTGTTATATCTTCAGGAAAAAATGAGAATTAAAGCAGAAAATGTGAGTTACACTTAGTTTTACAGTTCAGTGCCACCTAGCTAAACATTTGCAAGATAACAAGTATTGTACTTTAAGCAGTATGCCTACAGTTTCATGCTAATTTTCACAAAAATATTGAAAATTTATTTAAAAGTAAAATATTGTAAGTAAGTAAGTAAGTAAGTAAGTAAGTAAGTAAAGGCTTTATTTATCGAGGCTACACATTTGGTTTCCCAATCTTCCATGTGGGCCTCTGATAAAAACATAGTTTACAATATATACAACTACAATATTACAAAAATAATTGCAACAACATTGTGTTACAATGTACATTGAAATTGTCAAGTGAACAAGCAATTTATACATTGCAAATGGTACTTACAATCCCAGTAAATTATCGAAAATAGGTCAAAATATGCAAAAATGGCCATTACAGCTTTAGTCACAAAATAGAAATATGGTGATAAATACTACAAAGTCAGTGTTTAATCACACATAACATGTAAATAATTTTACTTAAATCTTGAATATTTTACTTTTCTTTAAATCTTTTTACATTCTTTTCAAGTTTGATTTTCATGAAATATGTTGGCTCATCTGGAGGCATGCAGTTTTAGTATATTTTTGTCATGTCCACCCTAATTGGTATTCCTGAATAACTAAACCAGTTATCACATGTACAAATTTCCACACAAATGATCAAGAACTACAAAACATCACAAGATTCAGACTCAATACTATCAACAGCTGTAATGGAGAAATTTTGCTTCACATAAAATTATAATTGGAATACAATATAACTATATGAATCATGATAAGAATATAACTGTCTATTTCCACGAGTTTTTCAACCAGTAAAAACAGATAAATAATCTGTGTCAACAAGATATTTTTTTAGCATTACTACCACCAAAATCTTTTCACCTAAAATCCAAAAACTAGGTCATAAGATAAAGAATAGATTTTTATTGTAAAGTCAATCACAACAAGACATGTTTGATCAATTTCATACTGCCAATCAGTGGCAACTACATATTGATAGCTTCCTTGAGAAAACTATAAATATTTACAGAAATTAAATGTCTTTATAATAAAAAACAAACTAAATGTCAAAACAAGATATCATAAATCTTAACTTAAAATCATATTAAAAAATCTTCCTATCTAAACAATCACATTTCTTTTTATCAAAATATCACAATTGTTTATGGAATTAAAAATATGAATCATAATGATAACAAACATAAATGTCTGATTAAATACATAGTGCTTCCATAAATTCAATTCAATTAACTCTTAACAACAATAAATATCTTAAATGTGCTTGTCCACCTTTTAATTTGGACAGTTACATAATTCAAAACAGGTATTGACTGAATGGCAAACAGTGCAGACCATGATCTGACCGCACAGATGTGTCAGTTGATCTGTAAGTTTGTACTGGACATGCTGATAGAAGCAGTTGCTGCTAGCAGGCTAAGAATACTTCTATTCTAAAGCTCATTAAAGATTTCATAACTATCCAAAATACATTTGTTCACTTCCTTTCATGTATTTAACTCATTATTTATAATAGCCCTTTATGCCACAGAAATGCATTTTTCCCCTTAAAAACTCCCTATTATAGTGTCTATAAAGTTTCTCAATGGCCAAATACCTTAATTATCTATTGCTTTTGTTGCTTTTTGGCAATTAGTACAGTAATGGGGAGTCATTATTTTGAATGGAAGTCCAAATACTACTTTGTTTACATTTTGCTATAACAAATAATTTCATTTTAGTGCTATTTTCTTAAGTAATAAGCATTTAACATGCTCTTAAACATCATAAAACTCTTTTTTGACATTTCTGAAGAAGGAAAAATATTTGTTTCTGAGGCTTAATGTGCCTTTCACAATTTTTACTACAAGTACTAAAATACTGGTATTAACTTTCAATCAAAATGCTCAATTTTTCAACTCCCATTTAATGGAGGCCAGTCATATAATTCAGTCAAATGAATAAAAGAATTTCTGATGCAACTCAAAACATTTACAAAGTATACATAATGTCTAATAAACAGTATATATTCTTGTACATTAGTCTAATTTTCGCAAAATTTTGAAAATGTATTTAAAAGTAAAATATTGTGAATTGAATAAAGAAATTGCAAATGGTGCTTGCAATTCAAGTAAATTACCAAGAGGTCAAAATTTGCAAAAATATCCTTTCAAGCATTTTAAGCAGTAAATAACTAGATATTTTGTGCCATTATAAAAAACATTACAAAATACCACAGAGATCGTCTCATTTTCATGTCAATGACTTAACCACTCTGTCACTAGTAATAATATAAAAAAGACACAGTCTTGGCTCATTTCTTTCTAGGAAAAACCTTCCAGCACAAATTAACTGTTTCTGTCAAGAAAGTGCAATAAACTATCCATTACTGAGAAAAGTGGAGAATTCTGCTGCTTAAAAAACCCCCAATTTTTATATAAAATGAGAAACCCCCTATAATCTATGTTTTCAGTTTTAAAAACAAAAAAAATAAATTTTAAAACAATTAACCATTTAATTTTCCTATTGCATGTTTTTGGGGTGTTTTCTCTTGTTGTTTTTGTAATTCTTTAAAGAAGTCTTTTTCTCTTTTGAGCTGGTAACATATGAAGTTACTTCTATGAATCTTTTTCCCGTTTTCATCAATTTTGCAAAGAAATACTATATGTAGCTCCTTTACTTTCTTCATCTCCTATAACATTGGAAAACAAAGGTTTAATCAAAGCAAATGTTCATGGTGATTCATATTAAGTTATGAGAAAAACTAGTCGTCACGCCACGGATGCCCATGCATGCGGCCAAAATTTCAGATGTTATAATATTTAGATAATGAACGGAAACTGATGATGACGGAATGACAGAATGACGGAAGGACGGAACAAGGTAACACTATATGCCCCTGGCAGGGGCATAAAAAGTCACTACAATGTATAATATTTTTTTCAATTTATAATATAAACCTTATATTTAAGGACATTTTCAGGAGTTTTTATATAGACTTTTATTATATTCATGTAAATGAAATATTAAGAAATATTGATAAAATAAATGCGTATTGTCATTTTACTATGGTCAATAGAGCTCAAGGACAACGTCCCTGGTTACAAAGCCAGTGCATTGTTAAGTAATGTATTCTACATGCTTCAAATGTGAAAATGTCAAAATCAATACACTGCGGACAGGCATTCTTAAGCAATTAAGGGGAAAAGCTTTTAAGTCAAGGTCCATGTGACCTTGACTTTTGACCCAGTGACCTCAAAATCAATAAGGGTCACCTTATGGTCATGACCAATCTCCATGCCAAATATGAAGACTGTCAGTCAAAGGAATCTTAAGTTAATGGGCAGACAATCTTTTTGAAGTCCAAGTCCATGTGACCTTGACCTTTGACCCAGTAACCTTAAAATCAATAGGGGTCTCCTACTTATTATGACTAACCTCAATGCCAAATATGAAGACTGTGGGTCAAAGGAATCTTAAGTTATTGGGCGACAAGCCTTTTAAGTCAAGGCCCCTGTGACCTTGACCTTTGACCTAGTGACCTCAAAATCATTAGGGGTCACCTACTCATCATGACTAACCTCCATGCCAAAAATGAAGACTGTGGGTCAAAGGAATCTTAAGTTATTGAGCGGACAAGCTGTTTTTAGTCAAGGCCCCTGTGACTTTGACCTTTGACGCACTGACCTCAAAATCAAAAGGGGTCATCTACTCATCATGACTAACCTCCATGCCAAATATCAAGACTGTGGCTTAAAGGAATCTTAAGTTATTTGGCGAACAAGCTTTTTGAAGTCAACGCCCCTGTGACCTTGACCTTTGACCTGGTGACCTCAAAATCAATAGGGGTCATCTACTCATCATGACTAACCTCCATGCCAAATATAAAGACTGTGGATCAAAGGAATCTTAAGTTATTTGGCAGACAAGCTTTTTGAAGTCAAGGCCCCTGTGACCTTGACCTTTGACCTGGTGACCTCAAAATCAATAGGGGTCATCTACTCATCATGACTAACCTCCATGTTAAATATGAGGACAGTTGGTCAAAGGAATCTTAAGTTATTGGGCTGACAAGCTTTTTGAAGTCAAGGCCCCTGTGACCTTGACCTTTGACCTGGTGTCCTCAAAAGCAATAGAATTTATCTACTCATCATGAATAACCTCCATGCCAAATATGAAGACTGTGGGTCAAAGGAATCTTAAGTTATTGGGCGGACAAGAAAAAACCGACGGCCGGCCAGACGGACAAGCTGATTCCAGTATACCCCCCTTACAACTTTGTTGTGCGGGGGTATAATAATATATTTTTTGATACAAAAGTACATTTAAAATCATCTCAGTTAAATATTGTATCACATGTTCAAGTGTTGTGTCCAATTAAAACAGTTTTTAAGTCAACAGATGAAGTTGAATACTATCCGATGTGAATGATTACTACACTAACAAGAACATGTTTGCTTAACACAAATGCCCCTAGCCGAGATTCTTGTCAGTAACAATATTTTCAAAATTGTTTACCCATTCACTACAATGCAAGACAAAGTGACAGTAGGGACATAAGCCTTACTCCGACATGTTTTGATGTGGTACACATATTAAAATCCTTTGATGTATGACAAAGTTACAGTCTGGACACGTATGTGTATCTTCAAACTCTTCTTGATAGAATGTGTACCTTCAAACTGTAAGTGTGACCTTGATCTTGGAGGTAGGGACAGAAGTCTTGGACAGCACACATCGTCTTGATGTGGTAGACATACATTATACATGCTTGGTGATTTAAAAGTCCTTCCATGCATGACAAAGTTAAAGTCCCGACACGAATGTGTGTACGTTCAAACTCCAATTGTGAGAATAAAACCTTCAAACTATAAGTGTGACCATGACCTTTGAAGTAGAGACATGGGTCTTACGATACAATATGCAATTCATCATCATGATGTGGTAGACATCTGTGCCAGGTTATTATAAAATCTTTCAATGCATTACATAGTTACAGTCAGAAACAAATGCTGTATAAGTGGGGACGCACAGAAAGTGCAAGTTTAATATGCAGGCTGTCCAGCACCTTCTGTCAAAAAATTAGGGCAAATTTTAGGGCAATTTTTAAGAAATTTTAGGGTAAATGAAAGAAATTTTTGGGCTAAAATTTGGAATTTTATAACTAAATTAATGCCTCAAAAGACCATAATATGGGCTAAACTTTGTATATTTGACACAAAAGTAACTCACAAATAATGCTCTAGTTTGGTGATAGCAAAGGTGTTACCAGTGTTCCATAGTCACCAGTGAATAAATGGATTCACTGGTCAACTGCCTTTAAAAAGAGCTGAAAAACTACATTAAAACATAACTAGAATGAAAACATTTTCAAAGTTATAAGTATCCCTGAACAACCAATATTCAATAAGTTAAGCTATGATTAGCCAGTAAAAAATGAAAGGGGAAATTATGCTTTAAATCTATTTTAGCTATAAATGCATTTCTTATCAACATTTATTCATTTTAAGGTTGGTACATTTTCAACAAAAGTTGATCTTTCTTAAAAAAACAAGAACTATCGGAGGACAGTAAGGCTCGACTATTCAGAAAAGTTGTCACAAGGGTGTTTTATTGAGTATAATAATGCTTACCTATTAATACATAAAATTGACAAAAAAGGTACAAAGGCTTGTTATTAAAATGTTTTATCAAGTAAATCACTGCTTTATTATTATGAATGCATAAAATTGTCCCAAAAAAGGCACACACCCTTCAGTAGTTATGGAAATAACAGCTTACAAGCAAAACTTTACCATGAATTTCTAAGTTGAAAAAGGGGAGAACAATCAGCCTAAATGCAAGATAGAATTATGGATCTTGGTCAGTGACCTACAATTATGACCCTAAATGTATATGTGAAGTTTTAAATAAATATCTTTAATAGTTATTGATATATGGTAAACTTGCATGTAAACATTAACCAAGAGACTAAGTAGAAAAGGGGAGATAAATCAGCCTCAATGCAAGGCAGAGTTATGGAACTTGGTCAGTGACATACAATTATGACCCTTCATGCATATGTGAACTTTCAAATCAAAATCTTTGATAGTTATTGAGATATGTAAAACTTACATGTAAACCTTAACCAAGAGACTAAGTAAAAAAGGGGGAGATAAATCAGCCTAAATACATGACACAGATATGAGTGCTGTTCAGTGATCATTATTTATGACCACAAACATACAAATGAAGTTTCAAGTTTGTATCTTTAATAGTTTCAGAGATATGCAAAACTTGCACGTTAAACTTTACCAAGAAAAGGAGATTATTTTTAGTACAAAAGGGAGCATATTCAGTCAAAATACATGGCAGAGTAATGAATCTTTAGACGTGACCTTCAATTATGACCCTAAGTACATGTGTAAAGTTTCAAGTAATTATCTTTTAAGACCTTTAACCTTTAACCAAAATTTCTAAGTTTCAAAGGGGCAAATAATTCTGCAAAAATTTCAGGCAGAGTTATGCAACTTGTCAATCTGATGTACATTGTTACTATAAATAAGTATTGTAAGTTTCAACTGAATATCTCAAGCAATAATTGAGATATTTGACTTTACAAAAAATTTTAACCAACATTTCTAATTTAAAAAGGGGCATAATTCTGTAAATATTGTAGGCACAGATATGCAACTTGTCAATCTGATGTTCATTGTTACTATAAATAAGTATTGTAGTTTCAATTGAATATCTCAAGCAACAATTGAGATATTTGACTTTACAAAAAACTTTAACCAACATTTCTAGTTTAAAAAGGGGCATAGTTCTGTAAAAATTGTAGGCACAGTTATGCAACTTGTCAATCTCATGTTCATTGTTACTATAAATAAGTATTGTAAGTTTCAAATGAATATCTCAAGCAATGATTGAGATATTTGACTTTACAAAAAACTTTAACCAACATTTCTAATTTAACAAGAGCTGTCGGTAGGACAGCACGCTCGACTATTCTAAGTGCTTGATAGTAAAAGAGCCTTGATAATGTTTAATTTTTTAAGTTCACAAAAGGGCTAATTTTTTTTTATAAATTCATGTTATAGGCCTTAGAGAGAGTCTAACTATACACTATTGGCTTGACTATTCGGAAGGTAATGTCACGAGGGTGTTTTATTGAGTATAATAATACTAATTACCTATGAATACATAAATTTGACAGAAAAGGTACAAAGGCTTGTTATTAAGATGTTTTATCAAGTAAATAACTGCTTTATTATTATGAATGCATAAAATTGTCCCAAAAAAGGCACAAACCCTTCAGTTGTTATTGAGATAACAGCTTACAAGCAAAACTTTACCATGAATTTCTAAGTTGAAAAAGGGGAGAAAAATCAGCCTAAATGCAAGATAGAATTATGGATCTTTGTCAGTGACCTACAATTATGACCCTTAATGCATATGTGAAGTTTTAAATAAATATCTTTAATAGTTATTGAGATATGTAAAACTTGCATGTAAACATTAACCAAGAGACTAAGTAGAAAAGGGGATATGAATCAGCCTTAAGATAGAGTTATGGAACTTGGTCAGTGACATACAATTATGACCCTCCAATTATGACCCTAAGTGTATGTGTAAAGTTTCAAGTAAATATATTTGAAGACCTTTAACCTTTAACCAAAATTTCTAAGTTTCAAAGGGGCAAATAATTCTGCAAATATTGCAGGCAGAGTTATGCAATTTTGCAAACTGATGTACATTGTTCCTATAAAAAAGTTTTTTAAATTTCAATTGAATATCTCAAGCAATAATTGAGATATTTGACTTTACAAAAAACTTTAACCAAAATTTCTAAGTTAAAAAGGGGCATAATTCTGTCAATATTGTCGGCAGAGTTATTCAACTTGTCAATCTGATGTAGCTTGTGACATAAATAAGTATTGTAAGTTTCAATTGAATATCTCAAGCAATAATTGAGATATTTGACTTTACAAAAAACTTTAACCAAAATTTCTAAGTTAAAAAGGGGCATAATTCTGTCAATATTGTCGGCAGAGTTATTCAACTTGTCAATCTGATGTAGCTTGTTACTATAAATAAGTATTGTAAGTTTCAATTGAATATCTCAAGTAATAATTGAGATATTTGACTTTACAAAAAACTTTAACCAAAATTTCTAAGTTAAAAAGGGGCATAATTCTGTCAATATTGTAGGCAGAGTTATCCAACTTGTCAATCTGATGTAGCTTGTTACTATAAATAAGTATTGTAAGTTTCAATTGAATATCTCAAGTAATAATTGAGATATTTGACTTTACAAAAAACTTTAACCAACGCAGACGCGGACGCCGACGCGGACGCCGGGGCGACTACAATAGCTCTCATATTCTTCGAATAGTCGAGCTAAAAATGGGCATAATTCTGTAAATATTGTAGGCACAGTTATGCAACTTGTCAATCTGATGTACATTGTTACTATAAATAAGTATTGTAAGTTTCAATTGAATATCTCAAGCAATAATTGAGATATTTGACTTTACAAAAAACCTTTAACCAACGCCGACGCAGATGCCAAAGCGACTACAATAGCTCTCCATATTCTTCGAATAGTCTAGCTAATAAAACAATATGACCCACTTAACATGTAACATGCTTAAGTCATTCCCAGGAATATTTAAACTTAAATTCAAACAGCAGGGTATACACCTATGAAGAATTTGTTCAAAATAAATCAGGCTACTAAAAATTGTAGAAAATTTCACAATAGTGTCAGTTTTTTTTTCAATGATTTTCAACAGTTTTTTTTCCAGATTTTAACAAGAGCACCGCTAGGCGGAGCATTATATGCCCGAAAGTGTTTTTTTTTAGTAAGGATGAAGCATTTGTAATACATGGGAATTCGCTGTTCATCCTATAAAATTTTACAGCTGTAGGTTGATTAATACTTAAGTTATTAATAATGACCATAACCTTTGACCTTGTGACCCCTAAATCAATAGGGGTCTTCTACCTTATATGGACAATCATCCTAAGAAGTTTGAATATTGTGGGCCAATTGGAACTTTAATTATGCTCTAGAAACTGTTTTCAGTATTAAGGTAAAAGTGACTTTGACCTTGTGACCCCAAAATCAATAGGGGTCTTCTACCCAATATGGACAATCATCCTATGAAGTTTGAATATTGTGGGCCAAATGGAACTTACATTATGCTCCGGAAACTGCTTTTGGTTTTAAGGTAATTGTGACCTTGACCTTTGACCTAGTGACCCCAAAATCAATAGGGGGTCTTTTGCCCAATATGGACAATCAACCTATGAAGTTTGAATATTGTGGGCAAAATGGAACTTAAGTTATGCTCCAGAAACTGTGTTCAGTTTTAAGGATTTAGTGACCTTGACCCATGACCTTTTGACCCCAAAATCAATAGTGGTCTTCTACCTAATATGGACAATCATCCTATGAAGTTTGAACACTGTGGGCCAAATGGAACTTAAGTTATGCTCCGGAAACTGTTTCCAGTATCAAGGTAATAGTGACCTTGACCTTTCACCTTGTGACCCCAAAATCAATAGGGGTCTTCTACCCAATATGGACAATCATCCTATGAAGTTTATACACTGTGGGTCAATTGGAACTTAAGTTATGCTCCGGAAACTGTTTTCAGTATCAAGGTTATAGTGACCTTGACCTTTGACCTTGTGACCCCAAAATCAATAGGGGTCTTCTACCCAATATGGACAATCATCCTATGAAGTTTGAACACTGTGGGTCAATTGGAACTTAAGTTATGCTCCGGAAACTGTTTTCAGTATCAAGGTAATAGTGACCTTGACCTTGTGACCCCAAAATCAATAGGGGTCTTCTACCCAATATGGACAATCATCCTATGAAGTTTGAACATTGTGGGTCGAATGGAACTTAAGTTATGCTCCGGAAACTGTTTTCAGTTTTAAGGTCATAGTGACCTTGACCTTTGACCTTTTGACCCCAAAATCAATAGGGGTCTTCTACCCACTATGGACAATCATCCTATGAAGTTTGAACATTGTGGGTCAATTGGAACTTAAGTTATGCTCCGGAAACTGTTTTCAGTATCAAGGTAATAGCGACCTTGACCTTTGACCTTGTGACCCCAAAATCAATAGGGGTCTTCTACCTTATATGGACAATCATCCTATGAAGTTTGAACATTGTGGGTCGAATGGAGCTTAAGTTATGCTCCGGAAACTGTTTTTAGTTTTAAGGTCATAGTGACCTTGACCTTTGACCCCAAAATCAATAGGGGTCTTCTACCCAATATGGACAATCATCCTATGAAGTTTGAACATTGTGGGCCAAATGGAACTTAAGTTATGCTCCGGAAACCAAATTGCTAACAGACGGACGGACGTACGGACGGACGTTCTCACAGGACAGTAATTATGTGGCTACTCTATTGTTCTCTCTATTGTTCTTTTTAAACACGCAAAAGAAAATAGCCACATAAAAGCATTACAGAATGAATGACATCAAAGAGAACCTATTGTCCCTCTAGCCACATAATTACTCTCCTGTGAGTGCGGACAGACGGACAGACGGACGGACGGACGGACGGACAGACGGACGCCAGGGGGTATAACATAATATGCCCTTTCGGGCATATAAAAAAAACCTTACACTATATGTTATAAAAAATATATTCAGTACATGTTAATGTGTACAAAAAGGGCAGCTGAATGTGTCACTTCTTAGTAAGCTAATTGGGTAGCAAAATGGTTAAAGCATCCAATCATTACAGCCAGTTTACCTTACCCACTTTATAATTAGCAAATATGGAAACTTGTCTAGATCTGTCAGCTGGCATCACTTATATTACAAAAGATCTGTTCTACAGTCATCACTTGAAAATAACTTTATTATAAATTAAGATTTTATTAATAAGGACCCCTACATAAAGTCTGATAAAATTTAGTGCTACATCATGTAAATAGTTGCTTTACTGAGGTAAATGGTAAAACTCGGTAGCCAATAAAAATGTAGCTTCCTTGAAAAAATATTTATCACAATTTTAAACAGGTGACTATTTTGATATAGTTATGCCGTACAATTTTCATTGTTCCATTTAAAACAAACAATTTCTTATTGTTTTACTGATAACATTTGACATAATCAAGCATAGCATTTCTGCAGGAGTTGAAGTAAATACAACATGTGACTTTATGCAATTTAGTCAGACATGACATCAGCTCCACTGACTGTGTTGAATTAAAGTTGTGATTGAAACATGGTTGTTTCGCGATATGTTTATTACAAAAGATAAAAAAATAGGAATTTAATTGAAAAAATAGGGCATTTTTAGGAATTCCCTTTGAAATTTTTATTTTTTTATGAATTTTTGGCAAACTGAAAAAAATTAGGATTTTTTTAGGAATTTTAGGGACGCTGGACAGCCTGAATATGCCAACCTTCGGGGGCATATAAAGTTAACCAAGAAATTCACATAACAAAAAATCTAAGATGAAAAAGTGTCATAACTTTGCATGAAATGATTTTTGGATTATCTGCCCTTTTGAAATGGCAAAATGGTTAACCAAAGCGCACTCCAACAAGAGGGTCATGATACTATCTCTTTGGAGCTAAAGAAGTCCAAATTCAAAATCAGGCCCATGATAATTTATATTACTTTACTACAAGGTTTTGTTTTATGCCAATTGTCTAAGGTCTTGTCAATTGATGGGGCCATTTTTTGTCCACAATAGCATTTTTTTCACTTTTGTAGAAGATTATTAGGCAATCTCAGATATCTTGGCTCCACGGCATATAGTGACAGTGAAGATTGTTAATAGGTTCACCTAAGTAAAGTCTATGTAAATAAATGGTTAACCTGAGGGAAGGATCATTTCTGACCTCTGGGTCATGATTTATAATGATTTATATCACTTGACCTGAAATATATATTAAGCTCTCAGCATGATCGTTTCTGAAAATCTTTTCAAAAATATCATTAATTTTTTAAAGCCAGATTTTAGCTTCTGTGATCTATATGTATCAAACTCGAATATATATGATTTTTCAAGGGGTACACTGTGAACAATGCTAATCCGGCCATTTTGGAAAACAATATTATTAAGATAAATATTAAATATTAATTTCATTCCTTGGTAAAATCAAATACCCCTAGAGTAAAACCAATTTGACCCTAAGTCTTTGATCTTAACAAACTTCCTATTTCTAAAGGTACTACAGACACTGCTTAATACCACATAACTAAGCTGTAAACCAATACACTTCTGGAGAAAATAATTTTACAAATTAAGGAGTATACTAAGATAATACATTTCTATATATTTTTAATTTTCGTTGGCCAATTAGGCATGGTCCGCAAACCATTTGGTAAAGCTGTAGCAAAATCAAATTAAAATTTGTATTAAAAGACAGACAATGAAATTCATAAACCCTTAAACTTCACACATTATCAACTTGTCTTCAGAAAAGCTAAAAAGGGTCAAAGCTAAGTAGAGGCATTTATGTTTCCTAGGCTGCCTATACATGTACCTCTTTGTCTTGCTTCATAGCATTATCAATGTTCACAATATGATCATCAAATGTGTCCAACGATGTGCCTTCCTCATGAATGTCATCAGGCAGATTTTCTAAGTATTTCACAATGTCAACTTTGGCTACAGTTATATAATCTTTATAGGCCATCTGAAAAAGTTCAAAGTGACAACATAATATTACAACACTTATAATGGCATTGGATATTTATAATATCAAAACACTCAATTTATCAAAGATCTTTGTCAATGACAACCAATAAATAATTCCTAGTCAGTTTAATAAAAATCTGTTCAGCATTGTAACAGGAGCTGATCAGATCAATAATAATTATAACTATCTTTTTTTACAGTTCCACTAAAATTTCTTTTCTTTATAGTTTCATCAAAATCTGTGCAGATATTCAGCCAATGTAATCTTGACCTTTTGCCAGCTGATGTGAAAAAATATCCAGGATAAACTACTGGTCATGACAAACTTCTGCATTAAACTGTATGTGAAGCTTTCTCTAGATAATGGTCTGACAATTAAGCTTTACGAGTGTCAGGTAAAACAGTTTAAACCCCTGCACCCAATTGTATAAACGTTGGTTAACTTTAACCACTGGGTTAAATCCTTGGTTAGGTTAACTTTTGAGTTAAACAATTGTATAAAATTTTGGTTAAATTTAACCAGCGTAAATTTCTTTACGTAAATTAACATTAATATCTTCATTCTATATGTACTCAAACAGAAATACATTTTCTTTTTACAATTTCATGTCCATTTCTTTTATTATTATTATTTTGAATTAAAATTAAACTGCTTTGACTCTAACAATACTTCTTATTTATATAATGTAAACAATGAAAGTAAATATTTATGATTGAACTCAGATGAATGAAAGCAATATCATATTTATTAAATGATTTATTCAGACTTTCAATGTAGATGAGAATATTTTACAAAATGATAATAATTTAACAATAGATAGAACTCTAGAAAACATATTTGGACACTTTTTAATTTTCAACCAGTTATAGACTATGCACTTATAAAGTATATATAACTTATTGTTTATGGTAACAGTCATATACTATTCATTACTCATACATTATGTACATATATTGAAACCCTGGTTTACCGAGGCTATTTCAATGACATATTGCCTATTCCTAAAGGTACTGGACTAGTATAATGTTGGCCAGTGACAGGTTCCAATCATTCATTAAGTGTTAAGTATTTTTACTAACAAGATACATGTATAAGTAATACATATATAAGATGTAAGAATTCCTAAACATAATATTGTAGGGTATTAAATAAAAATAATACAAAATTGAAGTAGAGGTAAATTAAAAATCACTTTTGATTGCTCATAAATTAATTATGGTAAATTCAAGATGACTATTGTTTCTTTTTTTTCATAATTATTGATCATTTAGTTTCTCCTCTGTTTAGTAAATTTTTTTTTTTTGGGGGGGGGGGGGAGGCAGGGTGTGATTGTTTTTATTTGTGGGGGCAGGTTAATAAGCAAGAACTAGACCTTTATTCTATTATTTATTTTGCTATAATATGGTAAACTTTCAGTAAAGCTCTTCTATCATGAAACATAGCTTTGGCAAAAATGCAACAAGATTTCCCAAAGGTGACTGATATGGTATTTAGTAACTGAAACAGAAGTTTCATATATTATATAGTGAAACTACAGAGAGTAGTTTGGGGCAAAAATTGCATCTGCTGTTATACAAAATATTTTGGGTTCGAACGTTTTAGGTATGAATCTGATAGAAAATATATGCGTCAATACTTCTGAATCGAGTGGTTCTTGTATGAAATTAGTTACATTCTAACCATTTTCTGTCCCAGTTGAGGGATGAATTTGTTTTATTACATTATGTCAGCGAATATTAGCTCATTTGCAGTACGTTTTAATTTGTAAACAAAGCCCTTGGTAACCAGGCGGTCTCCCTAATTACCGACATGAACCGTCAGAAGTAAAAATGGAAAAATACGAATAAATTTCACTACTTTATCATTTAATAATCACAATTCCTAATATTTTTACATGAAAAACATAATAAATTCGTTCTGAACCCTGTTTATAGGCAAATATCTATACCGACAATATTTGTGGTATACTTGATTTAAATTTACAGTAATTCCCTTGACACCAGTTCCAATGTCATAAACAAGTTCATCCTATGTAAAAGTTATATTTTGTACAATTTTTTAATGATGATATGTAATTAGTGTGGTGACAATAAACATCTGAATTGAAAATTTGAACCGATTTTAACTCTACTATCAAAATTTTCGATTGTAATAAAGATGGAAGCGTAAACCATGTGTCAATTCTGACATATTCCGCTAAATTAACATAACCGGATATAGAATTTATTGCATGCCAGGATTTAAGTATTGGTTAGTTTAACCAGCGGTTAATTTTAACCATTTTGGTTTGTTAACCTTTTGGTTATCTCGGTTTATAAAAGTGACTAACCAGATTGGTTAGTTAACCAAAGTTGGTTAAATTTAACCCATGGTTAGCGTTTAACCCAGGGTTAATTTAACCAACATTTATACAATTGGGTGCTGGTGATTTTGACCTTTGAATGACAGATTTCACTATCAACAGTAGTGATGTTCTGATTGTCGCAAGTCGCCGATAATCAGTTACTGTTATGTAAAACGACAATAATCGATTCACAAAAATTTGTTCCACGACGTTGTCGATATGTTTAAAGTATCAAAGGGAATTATTTCTGGCGGTAATTTTCTTTTAGGAACATCTCGCCGATCGCAAAAAATCACTCAGATACAATTTGGAGTTGAAAAGGATCAATAAGTGATGTAAATAATAGTATTATAATGTGACGTGAATGGTATTAATTGACATCCATTGAAAAATAAAATCTTTTTCGTAAAAAAATATGACTATATAAAACTGTGTTGAAAAGTGCTAAATGAAGTTCATGTTACTAAATATAATCAAGTGCCTTGGTTAGAAATGTTACTTCCCTATTTCTTTCTAACGCAACTTTATTCGATGATCGATTGGGACAAATTTCATCCGATTTCCATCACTAATCAACAGGGATAATCTACAAGTCATAATAAACCTCTACACAAAATTCTCTGACATAGGTTTATTCTCTTTTTATTGGTTAGACAAATTTTTTGTGGTCAAGGTCACAACTAAACTTGACCTTTGACCAAGTGGTTCCAATACCATCTATGTCTTATCATGGCAAACTTTCATGCCAAATCTTAGGAATGTATGTCTCAGGGTTAATTCATAATTGGTAGGAAAGGTTTTTTCTTTAGTGCAACAACAAGTATCCTTGACCTTTCACTGACTGACCATTTTTCTAGTCATGAGCAACCTCCAAACATAATCTTAGGACTGTATGTCTCTCTTTCCTTTTTGGTCAAACACACTTTAGATACACACAGATAGATACCTTGACTCTTGACACACTGACCCTTAAAAGGGGTTATCTTCTAGTCATGACTAACCTCTATACCAAATGTAAAGACTGTCAAACAAATTGTACTCTAAATATTTGTTGGACAGGCATTTTGACCTTTGACCCCAAAATCAAATAGGTGTCATCTACTATATCAAGGCAAACCTCTTCTCTAAACCTAAGTACTGTTGGTCTAGGAGTTCTCTAGTTATTGGTGGGATAAGATTTTAGTGGTCAAACCACTGTGACTTGACCAGTGATTGACTAATCACCAAAGCAGTTGGGTCATCTAGTAGCCCTGACAAACCTCAACACCAACTGTGTTCACTATATATTAGTCAGAACAGCTGTTTGTGGTCAAGGCTACTACAACCTTGACTGGCCCTAATGTCAAAAGGGGTCATGTACTAGTAATGATGTCAATACAAAATATCAGTTTTATAAAGGATGTTACAATTATGTTTTATGTTTATCATGATCTAACTGCTGGAAGCAAAAATAATGGCTCTTGTTTGCCAATATTGTACATTACCAAGATACACATACATTATAACAGTCTGAAAAGAATCAATCATCACTGTAGCTAGAGTTAAGATATTCAAGTTAAGTCTGCAAAGTAAATGTCCATTAAACAAGTTATGTTCACAACTTCATAAAACCAATGAAGTGAAAGTAAAAAGTAAAATAAGACTTACCGTGACATGATCACTTTTTTCCAAGTATTTTAAAATGGGATCCACACTTTGGCCGTTGGGTAGAAATTTTCCAACCATACCATTATAAATTTCAGCCTCTGCCCTTAATGTGACCAAAAGCTCTCGTTTAGCATTCCATGCAGTCATCAATTGGTCCAGTGTAGTTATTTTATCTCTTTGACGAATTTTCTCAACCTCGATACAAATCATGCCATATAACTCTGTTGTATCTAATTTTGGCTCATCTCCAATGGATTTATCAAGCTCCATTTTCTCTGAAATAAAAATTCACTTCAAGTATCAAATATACAAATCCATTTAGATATTATTAAAACATAGAGCTAAAGGAAATTTACATCAAAATAATTGTTTCCAACAAATAACCAGGCCCAATGTTAAGAGAAAAATCTTGATCAGGATCAAAGATACTGATTTTATATCATACCTTTTTGAAACTAAAATGAATTGTTAAGTTTGCTAAAATTGAATGGTTCATAAACAAAATACTGATTAGCAAAGACAACCATATTTTGGGATAAAATGGACAAGCAAACAGAATAAATAAATCAAGAGCCACACATCATGTTTTCTTATTTCTAAATCACAAACACTAACAGAATAATATTGTAAGAAATAATTCTGTCAGAATATATCATTTCCTTGTACAAAACATAACTGAAATTTCATTGTTAGCTAAGATCATTTACAGATCAAGGTCATACTTATATTACTCAAAATGTCAGTGTTGTTATAAGTGCTGTTTTGTCAAAGTATGAATCAAATCTTTCCATTACAACTAATAGCAAAATTATGGCAATTTAAGCAAAATATAAAACCTGACCATGACAGTCAAGGTCACTTTGAGGTCAAGGCCATATTTGAATAATACAACATGTCAGTTTTGAATTAAATGTTTTATCCAAAATTGAATCAAAACTGTAAATACATGATACATTGTAAATACATCATAATTAGACAAAATTCAATAATCTCAGCTTGACGTCAGTTATTTTTAAATCAAAGTCTTATTTTTACTTTTTCTACATTTCTGTTAGCCTTATTTTATACCTTTAATGTCATGGTCAAATAAAAGTCATGGTCAAGTTCAATTAAATTCTCATAAATGTTGGGTCCCAAGGATTGTTATGCCTAAGCATGAAGAGTCCTGAGTCCATTCATCACTTTCAAATTTATTGCAGATTATAGCCAAAAAACAGTGAAATATTGAAAATTTGACCTTCAAGGTCAAATTTAGTTTGATATCCTTGTGTTCAAGTATGGAGACAATCATTTCATAAATATATCAAAGTGTCAAGCTTGAAGAAAAGCCTTCAAGGGGAATATAATTTATAGATTTGGCAGGAAACTGTCCAAGTGTGACTTTGAGCTTGCATAAAGCTGGTATGGGGCCTGCAAATCTACTAGTTCAGGTGGACATTTGACATGTGGTAAAGGATTTATAGAGGTGACATGCAATTTGTACAGAGTGATTTCAGTACTGTCTTCCCATATCTTTGTGATTGAAACTGGTATATTAAGTAGGCAAAAATAATCATTTAGCCTGTTTATGAGATACAATTGGGAAAGCAATAACTCATACACCTCCTAACATAAGCTTATACAGGCTCAATATAACAACAATTACAAAAGTACAAAAACTCTGAGGAAATAACTGAACCTAAAATAGCAAAACATAGTTACTGTATATATATGTATATAGAGATATAGGCAATATGCATTAGGCAGATATAAGATCAAAACTTGGTTAAAACCTACCTACAAATTTCTCGAACAACAACTTTTGTAATTCCTGTAACTCTGTGAACATACGCTGTGAAATCATATGATACCTAATTTTCTCACCTAACTTCAAGGTAAACTTTAAATCCACTTTGAAATTTACAACATATCCTATCTTGGCATCCAATTTACTAACATTGTAAGAATTCATAACAGGGTCGTATTGCTCCATTTTAGGGTGTTGATCCAGATGCTTTCCTACATAACCAATCAGTTTTTCAATAGTTATAAAATCCCCTTTAATTTTGCACTGATAACAGCTCTCAATCAAACACTTGGCACCCAGAGCTTCTCTTGTAAGGCACTGAATAAGATACTTTCTAAACAGGCTACCACCTTGTTGCACCACCGAAAATTGATCTGGACGGCAGGCATTAATTTGTACAATCCTTACATTTTTACTAAGAGTAAAACATGGAAGCTTTTCATTTTGACTTGTATCCCCAGATGAAGTTGGTATTGATTTATTCTCTTTAGTAGGTAAAATTACAGGCCCAGCACAACAATCTAGAAATACTATTGTTCTCTTTGACTCCACGGCTGATTCACATCCATATAAAATCTCTGATATAACCTCTTGAAAATCTTCAGCAGAAAGATATTGTTCTTCATTCTGAATGCCAGTCTCTCCTTCTTTGCTATGAACAAGTTGAAATCCCCCCTCATCTGGCTTATAATGACCGGAATAATAAACAAGCAGAGTTTGAACACCTTTAATACCTTTTAAAACTTCTTTAGATGTTTTTAATTTTTCTAACATGTTATCTGGTTTTCCTTTCTCTTCTGGACAAACTGTTTGCATATTACTAGTGCTGAAAATGTAAAAAAAGTGTGTGTCTTTAAGACATGTTAAGTTCAATTTCATAGGATTTTCCCAATAATAGCTTCAGTTAACTCTACCTGTTAGCTCTATAGGGAATACACTGGATTTGTAATCAAGGGTTTTACTGGGTTAATTCTCAAGTGAGGACAATAGGAAGTAGGTCATGTGAAGATGAATTGGTAATGACTTGTTTGTAAGTCAGGAAAATAGGTTAGGTGGATTGATAGCTGATCAAAATGAGTTCAAATAGGCATAGAAACCAAACTAACATTTACAAAGAGCTTCATTGCAAATAATTGATGTTTTGAAACTCGACAAAAGACTTCCTTAGTTGGTTGATTTTAACTCAAGCACTCAAACAACAAATAACACAACATAATGGAACAGTTTTTACAAAGTCAAGGGCAATAACTCTAGAAATACTGGAAAATCCACAAGCGAAACCCCAGGTACACAACTACACATGTTGACCAACATTCCTGTTAAGTTTCATGACTCTAGAAAAAATACTTTTTGAGATACGCACGACACCATTTGAAAATTGCGAATTTTCACTAAGTTAAGGGCAATAACTCTAAACAAGAGGGCCATGATGGCCCTGAAGTCGCTCACCTGTATATAGCCCCCCCGCAGGACCGATTTTAACCCAAGGGCTTTTATTTGAACAAACTTGGTAGACACCCATAAGAAGATGTTTCATGCTAAACATCTAAGCTCTAGCTATTTGGGTTTCTTAAAAGAAGATTTTTTAAGTTTTAACTATACATATATAGTTAATAAATGACACCCCTGGGGCGGGGCCAGTTTTGACCCAAGGGCTTTTATTTGATCAAACTTTGTAGACACTTACTAGAAGATGTTTCATGCTAAATATCTAAACTCTAGCTATTTGGTTTTTTTCAAAGAAGATTTTTAAGTTTTTGCTATACACATATAAGGAAAATCAATGACCCCCAGGGCGGGCCAATTTTGACCCCAGGACTTTTATTTGAACATACTTGGTAGACACCCATTAGAACATGTTTCGTGCTAAATATCTTAGCTCTAGTTCTTTGAGTTCTTTAAAAGAAGATTTTTTAAGTTTTTACTATATGCATATAAGGAAAATCAATGACCCCCTGGGGCGGGCCAATTTTGACCCCGGGGCTTTTATTTGAACAAACTTGGTAGACACTCATTAGAAGATGTTTCATGCTAAATATCTTAGCTCTAGCTCTTTGGGTTCTTTAAAAGAAGATTTTTTAAGTTTTTACTATATGCATATAGGGAAAATCATTGACCCCCTGGGGCGGGGCCAATTTTGACCCCGGGGCTTTTATTTGAACAAACTTGGTAGACATTCACTAGCAGATGTTTCATGCCAAATATCTAAGCTCTAGCTCATTGGGTTTCTTAAAAGAAGATTTTTTAAGTTTTTACTATACACATATAGTTAATAAATGACACCCCTGGGGCGGGGCCAGTTTTTACCCAAGGGCTTTTATTTGAACAAACTTTGTAGACACTTACTAGAAGATGTTTCATGCTTAATATCTAAACTCTAGCTATTTGGGTTTTTTCAAAGAAGATTTTTTAAGTTTTTGCTATACACATATAAGGAAAATCAATGACCCCCGGGGCGGGGCCAATTTTGACCCCAGGGCTTTTATTTGAACATACTTGGTAGACACCCATTAGAACATGTTTCATGCTAAATATCTTAGCTCTAGCTCTTTGAGTTCTTTAAAAGAAGATTTTTTAAGTTTTTACTATATGCATATAAGGAAAATCAATGACCCCCTGGGGCGGGGCCAATTTTGACCCCGGGGCTTTTATTTGAACAAACTTGGTAGACACTCATTAGAAGATGTTTCATGCTAAATATCTTAGCTCTAGCTCTTTGGGTTCTTTAAAAGAAGATTTTTAAAGTTTTTACTATATGCATATAGGGAAAATCAATGACCCCCTGGGGCTGGGCCAATTTTGACCCCAGGGCTTTTATTTGAACAAACTTTGTAGACACTCACTAGAAGATGTTTCATGCCAAATATCTAAGCTTTAGCTCTTACGGATTTTTAAAAGAAGATATTTAAAGTTTTTTCTTTCGGTTGCCATGGCAACCAGAGTTCTTCATGGAATTAAATTCTTTGAACAATTTTTAAAGGTGACCACCAAAGGAACATTCCTGTGAAGTTTGGATGAAATTGGCTTAGTGGTTTATGAGGAGATGTCATTTAAAGTAAAAGTTTACGGACGGACGGACGGACGCCGGACGAAAAGCGATCACAAAAGCTCACCCTGTCACTTTGTGACAGGTGAGCTAAAAAAAGGAAATAAATAAAACACAAGTAGAACCCTGGGAGGTGCAAAACTTCAGATGTTGATCAACATTCCTGTAAATATTCATGAACCTAGGTTAAATGCTTTTTGAGCTATGTGTGACACAAGTTGAAAATTGCAAATTTTTATGAAATCAAGGGCAGTAACTGCGCATATGTGCAGTCTGATCAGGATACATGCTGTTCGCTATCAGTTTCTCTACTTGTTATAAAGTTTGTAAGCGAACAGCAGGGATCCTGATCAAACTGCGCAGATGCACGGGCTGGTTTGGATCCATACTGGTCGCAAATGCATTACGTTGGTTTTGTCATGACGCGGCTCAAATTATCTTATCCATTTAAATTTCCTCAAGAAATACAGAAGTTAAATTAAATACAAAAATTTTCAAGGAAATTTTAAGTTTAAAGGGAATATCATGGCTGAAAGAGATATTTACCTTACCATATATGATGTGCCTGATGAAAGGAAAATTCCTTAAGAAATAATTCTCTAAGGAATATTCAGTTTAAAAGGGATATGTTTCTGAGAAAAATATGTGTTAAAAGTTATGAACCTTGTCACTGATGATGTGGGTATTGATAAAGAACATACTGGTTTCCTAGCAGTTTCCGACCCCAAACCTCACTTTTTAACAAATGAAAATATGCCTACGGATGAGTAAAAAACTTTGAGAGTACAAAGTCAGGTACCTGTCCTGCATTACCATGCTTTTAATGTTTCTCTTTTACTTTCCATTTTAACTGAAACATGGGCCTTTTCTTATATTTATTCAAAATTTCATAGCAGTTTTTTGGACATTTTTTATTTTGAGTATAATTCAGTACCAGTTATCAATGTTAAGATGATTTTATCAAAGAAATAGAACTTCCAGACCTTTCCTTATTGTCTGCAATATACTTTTCAATGGTATTGATTTACCTAGAATGGGGTCTCAGTTATAGCACATGGGCATACAAACTAGAATTCCCCAGGTGTTTATTTTTTAGTGTCCCAAGTTCCCATATGTAACTTTAAAGTAGAACTCCGCAAGTCGGATGTGGCGCCTTGTAAACAATATAGTTTAGGAGAATTTATGGCCAGGACAAAAATGAAGAAGATAAAGAAGTGCAGAGTACCAGTTCTTGTACACTGCATTTTTCTTAATGAGATCTATCATCCTATGAAATTTAACCCTTTGGCTGCCAGAGGGTTATTGTTTTATTGATCACCTATTTGCCAGAGGGTTTTCTAAGAAATTACTATATTATTAATTAATATAATTAATATTATTTGTAATTAGTATTATAATAATTATATATGTTTCCAAATCTGTTAGTATAATAATAATTATTGTCGATGGTATGATTTTCTTTATATTTATTATTATTTTTATTATTATTAATTTATTATTATTATTACTATTATTGTTATAGAAACCGCTAAAGCAGTCCATATGGCAAATACGCCGAAAATAACAGGGACGGCATTAGCCGTCCCTATGGCAGTGAAAGGGTTAAAGACCACAGCTTTTATACTTTAGGAGAAATGGCCTGGACAAAAATAAAGTATGAAATTAACAAAGGGCAATAACTCAAAAAAATCATCAAACCATAACCAAATTCCAACTTGACCTGCCCATTCCTTTGATATATCCATATGTCAAATTTGAGTTGAATATGTAACACTGTTGGGTAGATAATGAACAGAAACTGTAAATTTCCTATTATTTTCAAAGTGAAAGGGGCATTACTCTGCCAAAAATCATTGAACCATGACCAAATTCGAACATGGCCTGGGCATTTCAAAACATATCCATATGTCAAATTTGAGTTGATGTGTTGTACCGTTGGGGAGATAATAAACAGAAACTGCAAATTTCATATTATTTTCAAAGTGAAAGGGGCATAACTCTGCCAAAAATCATTGAACCGTGACCAAATTTGAACCAGACCTGCGCATTCCTTTGACATATCCATATGTCAAGTTTGAGTTGAATGTGTTGTACCATTGGGGAGAAAATGAACGGAAACTGAAAATTTCATATTGTTTTCAAAGTAAAAGGGGAATAACTCTGCCAAAAATCATCGAACCATGACCAAATTCGAACTTGACCTGTATTTTCTCGTGACCTATCCATATGTCAAGTTTGAGTTGAATGTGTTGTATCGTTGGGGAGATAATGAACGGAAACTAAAAATTTCATATCATTTTCAAAGTAAAAGGGGAATAACTCTGCCAAAAATCATCGAACCATGACCAAATTGAACTTGGCCTGTATTTTCTCGTGACCTATCCATATGTCAAGTTTGAGTTGAATGTGTTGTATCGTTGGGGAGATAATGAACGGAAACTAAAAATTTCATATTATTTTCAAAGTAAAAGGGGAATAACTCTGCCAAAAATCATCGAACCATGACCAAATTGAACTTGACCTGTATTTTCTCATGACATATCCATATGTCAAATTTGAGTTGAATGTGTGCAACCGTTATTAAGAAAATGAACGGAAACTTATGATGACGGAATGACAGAATGACGGAAGGATGGAATGATGGAAGGACGGAATGACGGAACAGGGTAACACTATAGGCCCCGGCCATTATATGGCGGGGGCATAAAAATTAAAAAGTGCAGAGTACCTGTTCTTGTGCACTGCACTTCAGGTCATTATAACAAGCATGCATACCAAGTTTGAAGTCAATCCAACTGATAATGACTGACTAATGCTCCGGACAAGCTTAAAGTTTTTGTACATTGAAATATATTTACTACAATATGTTTATTTCTTTAGGAATTTACTTCAAATTTCAAATACACTGGTTTTTTAGCAGCTTCCTTTCTGGCCCTTTATCCGACACCGACGGCGCCGACAAAAGTAACCCCTATATGTTGCCTTTTTAAAGGCGACACAAAACAGGAAAAAGTTCAAAACATATAAATGGCTGTACTATTTTAACTGCTGTGTTGCATAGAAATGAATTTCTCTGATATGATGTAGTAAAATAGATGCCTTACTGGTAAAAGTAGAGTGTGCTGGATAAAAATGATAAAGGGCCAGAAAACTGCTAGGGGCGGGAAACTGCTAAGAAACCAGTATATTTGAAATTTGAAGTAAATTCCTAAAGAAATAAACATATTGTAGATGTACAAAACTTTTAACAAAAACCTAAATGTGGAGAGGACAGCTTTCCATATACATGTACTTCCTATATACCATCTAAAAACATTTCCACCAATCAATGAAAAGGTTGACAGGCTCAATCAAACCGAGCCTGCAATATTTTCAATTTTGTTGTGTTGGACTTTCTTTAGGGATTCTGTTTTTCTCTATTTTATTGTTCTTAAAATAATATATTTATTTACCTTACACCCATTACAAGAGGGCATTTTGAAGAAATCACTTGCTCAATTGCTTTCACATCTTCTTTGAAAGATTTGGCCACCCAATCACGTGTATCGTACCCTGCTATCAGCAAGGCTGCCCAGTTATGACCTAACATTAGAAAATACAGAAGAAAAATAGTTTATGTTCCCTTTTAAAATAAACAGACAGCTTGTTTCCAATACTAATTTTAGAAACTAACAATATGACATTAATCATAGTCAATAACATCCCAAATTTATCAGTACATAAAAAGCAACTTCATTATAAATTGTGGTACTTATTTCTAAAAAATACTCAAATTGATAAATGGGTCTTTGTGGTCAGGTGGTTAATTTTTGACATCAAAAGCACTGGACTTTACAGTGTAACATGAGAAAGTTATCTGCTAGCTAAGTTAAGTGTTTTACAATGGCTGGGAAAGTAGTCATATGAACTTTACAGTGGCTGGAAAGTCGCCATATGAACTTTAAAGTGGAGGAAACTTCTCAATATGACCTTAACAGTGGCTGGAATGTTGCCATATGACCTTTACAGTGGCCTGGAAACATTGGCCATATGACCTTTACAGTGCCGAAACATGACCTTTACAGTAGCTGGAAAGTGCCCATAACTATGACCGTTACAGTGGGTTAAGTCACAATATGATCTTAACAATGACTGGAAAGTGACCATATGACCTGAACATTGATTGACTGGAAAGTGGCCATATATGACATGAACAGTGACTGGAAAAGTAGCCATATGACCTTAACAGTGTCTGGAAGGTGGCAATATATGAAATTAACAGTGGCTCTTAACTTTGTCATATGACCTTTACAGTGGCTGGAATGTGGCCATAAGACCTTGTCAGTGGCTGCAACATGGCCATTTGACCTTAAAAGTGACTGGAAAGTGACAATATGACCTTTACAGTGGCTTTAAAATGGCCATATGACCTTAAAAGTGGCTGAAAATTGGCCATATTACTTTACAATGGCTTGAAAATGGCCATTTGACCTTAAAAGTGGTTGGAAATTGGCCATATTACTTAACAGTGGCTTGAAAATGGCCATATGACCCAAGAGTGGCTGGACAGTGGCCATATGACCTATACCCTCTCATGTATACATTAGTAAATATTGTCTTTTAATGTTATTACATGAAAGAAAAATAAACAAATTAACAAGAAATGCTGAAAAACACGTATGCCCAACTTTCTAGCCCTTGACTTGTACTGTTGGTAATTTTGTTATAGATACATGCCAAAAATCAGAACATGGAAGTTTTTGACCAACTTTGACATTTATGAGACTTGCCATTCCATAGTTATTAATCGGAAATGACTTTTATATTTGAGGTAACTAAATTTGACCTTTGCCCAAGTGACCCTTAAATCAATACAGGTCATCTTCTAGTTATGACCAATCAATATGTGAAATATGAAAACTTCATGAACAGTAGTTTTAACATAATGAGCGTAAACCATTACAAGATTTAAGGCCCCTATGACCCCAAATTAAAAAAAAATGTCATCTTTTAGTTATGGTCAATGAATATGTGAAATATAAAGATTTAGTCACTAATTGGTGTCAAGAGAAAAACATTCAAGGTTATTGTGACCTTGACCTTTGAACTAGTGGCCTCAACTAGTGGCCTCAAAATCATCTACTAGTGAAACATGAAGACTTGATAAACAAGTAGTTTTTGAAGATAATGAGTGAAAACTATTTCCGACATTTAAGGATCGTGTTACACATTTTTTGTGTGATTTTATGCTCAAATTCAAGATTTATCAATTTTTTGTAAGTTCCAAAAAGCATTAATTATAAAGATTATTACCGAATTTAACATTTCATGTCCTTGACCTTTAACCTACTGACCAAAAAAATCGAAAATAGGTCATCTACTTAGGTCATCTACAGTTATGACTAATCAAAATGTGGGAGATATAATGACTTTGAGATAATTTTTTTTCAAAGAATTAATGAGCAAAAACCATTCTTACATTTTAGACCCCTGTGTCCCTTTACCTAGTGACCCCAAAATATTATAAGGCGTCATCTACTAGTAATGACCAATCAGTATGTGAAATATGAGGACTTTGTGATAAATTGTTTCCAAGATATTGAGGCAGACACCATTGTGACATTTTATGGTCCCTTTGACCTTGACCTTGTGACCCAAAATCAATAGGCATCATCTACTATTTATGTCCAATCAGTATGTGAAATATGAAGACTTTGTGATAAATAGTTTTCAAGATCATCAGCCAAACCATGTTGTTCTACCGACAGACAGACCACCTGACCGACAGGCCAACTTACCGACCGACATTAGCAACACCCCATTTTTCTTCTAACCGGGGTATTATATAATTAATATGTTGTGGACCAATATCAATCTTCTTAATACATAGGTTAACTTATTTCTTCACACATTTACAATGACTATTTGCTCTACATACAGCATTTAATACATACCTATAGTTGGTGTCACCTTTGTGTCACATGAATGACAATGGATGGATTGCAATATGAATTCCTCATACATGAAACACAGACATTTATGTGATATTATACAATCATGGTGTTTGAACACACTTTCCTCCACTGGAAGAAGAACAAGTAAAAGAATATTGTTAAAAACACATGCAAACTAAAAAAGACATGGCCATCCAGCAGGAATCAGTTGCCCTTTGGGACTACAAAACTCTATAAAACAATAATATTTTTAGTTTACCAAATTTAGGATAATTTAACCAACTTGGAAGGGAAAAGTAGGACAAGAGCTGCAACAGGAGGAGCACCTTTACCCCTTTCTTAAGTGAGACCTTTGAAACCTTTTTACCCAAAGCTGGACAATTTGAGGTAGGGATTGTGATTCTTTGAAGCGAACACATTGTCTTGATGTGGTAAAACCTTTATGCCAAGTTATTCTAAAATCCTTCAATGCCATGACAAAAGTTACAGGCCCCCGGACACGATTGGTGTGTACCTATTGACTCTAATGGTTGCATAATGTGGGAAACTTTCAAAATGTAAGTGTGACCTTGACCATAGGGGTAATAAAGACATCGTAATTTTTTGACCGCAAACATGGTAGACATTAAGTCAAGTTATTTTTAAAATCCTTTGGATGCATGAACAAAGTTACAGTCCGGACATGGGAATGGTGTACCTATTAACTCTAATTGAAGATAATTGTGAAAACTTCCAAAAATGTTAGTGAATTCTTGACCCCTTTGAGTTTAGGGACCTGGTGGTTTTTTTTGGAATAGCAACACATTTGTATTGATGTGGTAGACCATTTGCTGCCCCAAGCTATTTAACAAACCCCTCAATGGTATGACAAAGTTAACAGTCTGGAAACACAAATGAAAGTTGGGATGCAACAGGACCAACAGATAGATGGAACAGGTGCCATTTTAATTATGCTGCCTTTTTTTAGGGGGCAATTAAAAACAGGAATCCTGGTAAAATGAGTGTTAAAGTTTTGGAATCCATTAATTAAAGTAGGAAAAAATTCCAAGTTGCCAAACACAGGTACTGATACAAGGGGAAATACAAAACTTCAGTTCAGGCAAGGGATCAAATGCGAGAATTTAAGGAACATGCCTACAGATTTCTATCTTATTTATTGTGAAAAAAGTCAAAAAGATTTCTGGTGGGAAAAATTCTTGTCAACTATACAAACTAAGGAGATTCTATCATGATGCCAAGGTAGGACCTATGAATTCTTAGAAAAATACGCTATCATAATTAATCCTGAAAATCTTCAGTAATGTTAATGAGATATTTTAATACACTATAGGCGATTTCTCCTTTATATAAACAAAGAAGGCCCTTATATTTCACAACCACTTGCCACACGCCGTTCTTATTTTACTCCCTCTGTAGATTCAGACCAACACAATGAAGGCGCCATTTTGTTTAAAAAAAATCTGATAAATAAAAAATTATTTTTGTTGGAATTTTGTTCTGAAAAACTTATCTAGGGGAATGATAGACTAAGACTAAGAAAAATAAATTAGAACACCAATATCTTTAATTCAGTACAGACGTTTTTTTAAAGTTATTTATTGGTGAGTCCCACATTGTAGCGCCAAACAGTGTGTTAAAAACAAGAATGCTATTTCGAAAAAAAAATAATTTCACTATTATTTCATTATAAATTACTCGTATTTCACTTGAAAAATATTAAAGTTTAAAACCCAAAATAAAACACACAAAAGTTTTATCAACAAACCGTTTTTTTCAAAAAATTCATTATTCTCAAAATGTTTCTACAGATGGTAGACTTATCAAACATGTAATTTTTAAACCCAACTTTGGAACCGCCTTTTTTAAAGAACATTACTATTGGAAACATTAGGCGGAAAATAAATTTAACCGGTCCAACAAATTTTTTTAATCTTGACGTTGTTAAAATGGAAAATAGATATTATTTTCATTTGCATTATTAGTACAGTCCGACCCCGGTTATTTCTACAACCCTTTAATTTGAATTACCCGCATTATCCAAAAGTAGATTCGGCCAAGTCCCGTTTTATCTCTATATTGAATAATATAAAATACGAGCATATTATTCGAAATGCATTATCCGAATACCTCCTGTTTTTCGATGGTAAAATTTTGGTCCAGATTTATACAATTATGAAAGAATTTTCACACCTATTATTCGGGAAGCCAGACCAATTGGCACCGATCCTATCGCTGGACTGGGGTCGACTTGTGAAAAAATATCAACAGTTCATGCGTTTGTATTTAGACAATCCTGATAATTACGCTTTGTGTGTTCTTTTTAATCACTTTTTAATTTACCTAAAAATGAAAAGCTATATCACATGTCCATGTTGTTACAGTTATTGCTTGGAGATGACAGCAATATTTTCTATAAATACTGTAAATTTATGTGAATTTGTCAAAACATCCAAAAATGTTTTTTTTTCATTAATTTAACGCCTATATGAGAGCCTTACCCAAATTGAAACTAGAACTATCACTAAATGTGATTAATACCCCCACAAGTCTGCTTTGGAAATGAGGATGTTACTAGTAACAGAATACCTTGTAATAGAAATTGAAAACATAGAGTTATGGTTGTGGGCAATTAAAAGATAATTGTGGTTCATGTAGATTTCCTTTCAAATGTGGTTGGCCAATGAAGTTTAATTGGTAATAACTCTATAAATACTGAAGATAGAGTTATAGTTCTTGTGCACTGCACTTCCTCTTATTGTGCTTGACCATTGTATGAAGTTGTTTTGAATTCCAACCAGTACGTTTTAAGTTATGCTCCGGACAAGGAAAAAGTATCAAAGGCAGTAACTCTGTATTTTGTCAAAATGGAGTTATGGCTCTTGTGCACTGCACTTCCTTTTAAATGTCCTTGACAACTGTATGAAGTTGTACTGAATTCCAAACAGTAGTTTTCAAATTATGCTCTGGACAAGGAAAAGTAACAAAGGGCAATAACTCTGTAATTAGTCAAGGATGGAGTTATGGTTCTTGTGCACTGCACTTCCCCTTATTGTGCTTGACCATTGTATGAAGTTGTTTTTGAATTCCAACCAGTAGTTTTCAAGTCCTGCTCTGGACAAGGAAAAGTAACAAAGGGCAGTAACTCTGTAATTAGTCAAGATGGAGTTATGGTTCTTATGCACTGCACTTCCTCTCAATGTGCTTGACCATTGTATGAAGTTATAATGAATTGCAACAATAAGTCTTCAAGTTATGGTCCGGACAAAAGAAAGCAATGGAAAAGTAACAAAGGGCAATAACTCTGTAATTAGTCAAGATGGAGTTATGGTTCTTGTGCACTGCACTTCCCCTTATTGTGCTTGGACATTGTATGAAGTTGTTTTGAATTCCAACCAGTAGTTTTAAAGTCATGCTCTGGACAAGGAAAAGAAACAAAGGGCAGTAACTCTGTAATAAGTCAAAATGGAGTTATGGTTCTTGTGCACTGCACTTCCCCTTATTGTGCTTGGACATTGTATGAAGTTGTTTTGAATTCCAACCAGTAGTTTTAAAGTCATGCTCTGGACAAGGAAAAGAAACAAAGGGCAATCACTCTGTAATTACTTTAGATAGAGTTATGGTTCTTATGCACTGCACTTCCTCTCAATGTGCTTGACCATTGTATGTAGTTATATTGAATTCCAACCATTAGTCTTCAAGTTATGGTCCGGACCAAAAAAAGAAGGCAATGGAAAAGCAACAAAGGGCAATAACTCTGTAATTACTTTAGATAGAGTTATGGTTCTTGTGCACTGCACTTCCCCTTATTGTGTTTGACAATTGTATGAAGTTGTTTTGAATTCCAACCAGTAGTTTTCAAGTTATGCCATGGACAATGAAAAGTAACAAAGGGCAATAACTCTGTAATTAGTCAAGATAGAGTTATGTTTCTTATGCACTGCACTTCCTCTCAATGTGCTTGACCATTGTATGTAGTTATATTGAATTCCAACCATTAGTCTTCAAGTTATGCTCCGGACAAGGAAAATGCAACGGACAAAAAAAAAAGCAATGGAAAAGCAACAAAGGGCAATAACTCTGTAATTACTTTAGATAGAGTTATGGTTCTTGTGCACTGCACTTCCCCTTATTGTGTTTGACAATTGTATGAAGTTGTTTTGAATTCCAACCAGTAGTTTTCAAGTTATGCCCCGGACAAGGAAAAGTAACAAAGGGCAATAACTCTGTAATTAGTCAAGATAGAGTTATGATTCTTGTGCACTGCACTTCCTCTCAATGTGGTTGACCATTGTATGTAGTTATATTGAATTCCAACCATTAGTTTTCAAGTTATGCTCCGGACAAGGAAAATGCAACGGACGTCTGGACCGACCGACCGACCGCCCGACCACCGGGTGACTCCTATATACCCCCCCAAACTTCGTTTTTGGGGGTATAAATACCAGAGTTTAGCTTTAAATACTGTAGAGACAATACCACCATTATCAAGGCTTTAGGGATTCTCATTTTCTCTATTTTTTGAACGAAACGAAACTATACATAATGCAGGGCCGGCAAAATCAATTGTCCATATTGCCCGGGTTGTCGGACAAGTGAAAATTTTCAAGAATAAACTATGTAAATATCATACAGACAAGTTAAAAATGTATTTATGTCTTCAATGCCAATAAAATAATTTTTACCCATCTTTTCTTTAACATTTATTTTTCTCAATTGACTGCAGGAAGTATGTGTGTTGTAAACGGTAGTTTTGCTATGATTGGTCAAAGTGAGTGGAGTAGTTTTCGTCTATCACAATATTCCAATTTCGATTATTCGAACCCATCGATTATTTGAAGTAAATTTTCAGTCCTAGGCACTTAGAATAAACGGTGTTGGACTGTATAATAATGCCAGTTTTTCGTTCAAATGCTTTGTAACTAATCATGAAGGCCTTATTAAAGTAGCACACCTCCAGAAGATACCCCAAACTTATGATACTCATATGTCAGATACGGATGATAAGCAACATATATTTGTAGTATGAAGTTGATACCTTAAGAAATGAAAAAGTTATAGTGAAAAATATTTTACTGCTCCAAAACTTTAATCTGAAATCTGGACACGGACGCTGATGCAGGGGCGAGTGGAACTCTCCATATACTTTGTATAGTCGAGCTAAAAACTGTTCTGGTTTAATGATTTGAAATAATTTATGGCCACAATAAATAATGGGATATAAAGTAAATTCCCTCTATTAAGACCACTAACGGGACTGACTCAAAGTGGTCTTAATAGTGAACTGGTCTTAATAGTGAATAAGCCACTTTTAGAACTTACGCAGTCCAACTAAACTAAATGCTTATGTACTCATATGTCTCAGACATTGATATAGGTTTTTTATCTTTCTTTAGATTTAAACTTTTAAATATAATTATAATACATGTATATTAATTTTATATTTTCATGATACAATTTTTGATAGACTAAGCAAGCAATGATTTAAAGTTTCATAAGAATGCAAACTAAAAGAAGACTGCATGGGGTTTCAACATTTTTTTCCAAAATATATAAAGTCCTTTCATTTGTTCAATTTTATAACATTCACGCTGACCAACAGACTCATTAAACCATTAATTTCATATCTAAATAAAATCCAACAATCCTTGGTGAAATTAGCTAGTCTTCACATACTTTCCATCAGGTATATACGTACCTGTTTCCATCAACAAATAAATTAAAATGCAATTGACCGCCTGTTAATTACCGACAAAATTAGTTGAATCATGCTGCCGCTTGAATGCTTAAGGTATATCGTAAATCAAGCGTCCAATTAACCAAGACAGATAATGACCTCGTTTGACCCGGTGTATTTGTTTACAGCCGTCAGTGGGGCAATAAACACATTGTGTTAGGTGGTCATTATGTTGCATGGTCGTAATACAGGTTAATGATTTAATAAGAAATACACACAATTGTCTGACAGAAGTGGTCGTAATGCCGGATTAGAGACGTGGTCGGTATACTGGTCATTTTTCTCGATGAATAAAGAAGGCAAATATTTTGTACTTTTGAAAAGTGCCCTTAATAGTGGCGTGGTCCTATTTGTGGCGTGGTCGTTAGGTGGTATTTTACTGTAGTGAAATAAGTTCTACTTGGGATCTCATGTCTTTAGTTCAAGCAATCAATTAACATGATAATTAAATACAACCTGCATCATAAGCCAAGCATATATCACACTTTTCTGTTTGTTTACTGCCTTTCCCCTGTTGTATCACATCCTTTAGCTGTTTCCTACTAATCCATCTTTGAGTGTTACTATTTCTAAGATGATTCTGAAGATTTAAAGGCAGGCTTGATTTTGTTTGAAGTAGATAACAATTATATGCAAAGCGATCAACAATAAAATCAACAAGAGCCACTGCAGACAAAGCAAACAAATAAACAAATCTTTAAAAAGAAAATTAAAAATAAATAAGTTTTTCCTATTTTTTTTGTCTAGTCACACTTGTTGTTTCGTCCAAGTATAAATCCTTTCCACAAATAATTGACAAAGCTAAGAAAATATAATCAAAATTTAATCATTTGATTATCAAAGGTCAAGGTCATTTCTAAATTATTCCACATGTCCATTTGGTCACAAGTGTTGTTTTGTCAACTTATGAATCAAATCTGTACATAAATAACACTAGAACTCCGCGAGTCAGATGTGTAGCCTTGTGAACAGTATAGCTCTATCATCCTATGAAGTTTCAAGTCAATATCTTTTATTGTGTAGAATTGTCCAGGTCAAAAATAAAGTATAATAATTAACAAAGGGCATGTCTCTTAAAGTACAGAGTACCGGTTCGTGTGCACTGCACTTCTTCTCAATTAGGTCTATCATCCTATGAAGTTTCATGTCCATAGCCTTTTATAGTTTGGGAGAAATGGCCTGGACAAAAATAAAGTATGAAAATTTACAAAGGGCAATAACTCAAATAATAAGAAGTGCAGAGTCTTGTGTACTGCACTTCTTCATAATGAGATCTATCATCCCATGAAGTTTCAAGTCCATAGCTTTTACAGTTTAGGGGAAATGGCCCAGACAAAAAAAAGCATGAAAATTAACAAAGGGCAGTAAGTCAAATAATAAGAAGTGCAGAGTACCAGTTCTTGTGCACTGCACTTTTTCTTAATGAGTTCTATCATCCTATGAAGTTTCAAGTCCATAGCTTTTATACATTAGGAGAAATGGCCCAGACAAAAATAAAGTATGAAAACTAACAAAGGGCAATAACTAAAAAAGTTAAAGTTTGCCGACAGCATCGGCAACATCAATGCCAACATCGGCAACATCAACGCCAACATGACTAACTATACCTCTATTTTTCTTAAAAAAAGTCAAGCTAGAAACAAATGTTAACTGTTTAATGTTGGCCCAGTTGTTTTAAAGTTTGTAAACCTAACTGTAGCATTTTTTTTCCTTTACCTGACAAGAAAATGCAATTTTCATCAAATTTTAAACAAAGTTTATACAAGAAAATATCTTTATCAATTTAGCAAACTTTTTACCTTTAATTCTGATACCAATTTATCAGAAGTCATTTCCTCATTTTCAATGCATTCACTAGACAGAGTAACTAAAGGTCCTGTAACTTCTGGTACTACTTGTAAATCCTTCCACATTTTCTGAAAAATATAAGTTGCACAAGTATGCCCATATTGTATGCCCATATTGCTCACATTAGTAAATGGAAAAAGTAACACCAGCACTTGTTAGGACACCATGCTTGACTATTCTCAGTGCTTGATAAAACAAGAACCTGGATAATGTAAAGTTCATAAAGGGCCATAATTCTGTCAAAATCTATGTAAAGAGTTATGGGCCTTGGACAATGTACTTTCATGTTCTCAAATGAAAGTCTTAATTTTTAACCAATGCCCTTCAGTAGTTTTTGAGAAATTGACTTACATGGTAAAAATTTACCAAAGTGAGACACCTGGGTGAGTCTAATAGCTATCCCTATTCTTGGAATAGTCAAGCTAAAAAGGTGTAAATGCCAAACTTGATGTAAATATCATACAGGTCATCATACAAACAATAGTTGTAATCAGGAACTCAGCAAATGTGGGTTTGTACATGCTAATCCCCTAGTACAAACAAACTTTTATAGTTTTAGCTTCAGGGTGCACTACCAGTCACACCTGTTGCACTTTTTTCTAGGCCGTAACTGTAAAAGTTTGTTTGTACCCCAGGATTAGCTGGGAAAACTGAAAATATACTTCATTCTGGAATAAGTCTATTTGAAACAATTGTTCTAAGATAATAATTTCTGCTGTGAAAATGAGTTTCATCCGAAAAGTGGGTGGGGTAAATTAAACCGATTTTGAAAAAAAATTAAAGAGTTTCATAAAACAATAAGATTTTTTCATTTCCAACTTTTAATTTACTTTTCTGCTAGGCAATTAATGTCAAATGTAATATAACAGTTTTGGTTATGTTTTATTTATTTATTTATTTATTTAACTTTCTTTTTTTTGAAAACTGGTATTCATGTGGAAATTGGGTGGGGTATATTGACCCCTGATTTTGAAAACAATAGATATAAGTTAACATTTAGATTCTTCCACTAAAATATGTTCAGATATATAAAATTGAATTATTTAAATGAGGTAAGATTATATAACAAATTTTAGCTTCAATTTTCAATACGAACATGTTTAACATTAAGACGATGCAATGACAGAAGCTATAAATAACAATTTCAAGTGTTTTATCAGTCATGAAATGCAAATCATTTTCTATTATGTAAATATAATGTTTTCAACATACTCTGATCAATAAATATATTTATCTTATTTATTGTTAATAGAAATCATCATGTAATAATTTGTCAATCATTTCATGGTAATGATTTAATGTCATTCATTTTTGAAGACTGTTTCCAGCATAATAGCATGAAATTACTACTAATTACTGATACATGTAATGTGATCCCTTTCATGCTCCATCGTCGTCAGAAATCTCTGAATCACTGCTACTACAAGAGTCAGGTTCTAGGTCATGTGTTTCACTTTCTTCCAATGCATTTGTTACTAGAAGATCAACAATTGATTCTGGTAACTGATCGCCTTCAAACCAATTAACAACGAAGCAGTTGTCACTCAACTTCCATCCATGGCCATTGGGCGATTCTATGACAGGATTTTGATATTTCGTCCTCTTCCAGACAGCTGCTACATAGTTTGCTCGCTTAATTTTCTCTTTCAGGACCTTTTTACAAGGTGGCATGCAACTTGGATTCATACCTTTAATTTTTGACAACGGAGCATATCTAGAATTTGAAGGATTATAGGAATACTTCTCTTGAAACAGCGAGAATCGAACTTCATTTACATTTGTTGATCTGTATTTGCCATATAATTTGCAAACGAACGATTCCAAACATTGAACTATTTATCTTCAGGTATAAGTGGATCTCCAAGTGCAGCAAACACCTTAACAAATTCTTCTTGTTTTTTCATCAGATCTAATGGTTTTACTTTTCCTTTATTCATAAACGAAGCTGTGTAATCTGATCCTGTGAATGCATGGAATCCTGGGAGAGCGTCTGTAAATGACGAGCCAAGGTTCTCTTTAAGATATCCAATATTGATAAACCTTCTTGTGTTATGCTTATTTAGACCAGCATCCATCCATACATTGGACTCTGTGACATGATAGAAAAGCAGCACAAGCACGTCAGTATCATTGCTTTCTTATCACACAGTTCAAGTTGTTGTTGTTCTCTGTCGTGAATACGTTAATTGATAGATAAGTCTTTGTATCGGCCTCTTCATTGGTGACAATCATACTGTTGTGCATGCATACGCACTGTGGCACCATCCTTCACAGTGAAGCGGTAACATATGTCATCAAATCCAAGATAAACGTCATTATTTTGCAAAATCGTAGAATAAGAGGTATTCTGCCAATCAGATGCAAGGAACCTGAAGAAAGCAGTCTTGAAGTGTGATGACTGCAGAGTTTGCTGCCAATTTCTTGGCGTTTTTTGGTCTCTTCCAATTGTTGAGTAAGCTATGTGACTTTCACCACGTCTAGTACGTTCCGTTTCCTTTATTGATGGTGTAATGTATGTGTCACAAATGAAATGTACCACTGGTGACATCTTGCAAATAATATGTAGCAACATCCTAGATAATTCACCCATTGTACAAGGTATATTCGATAGGGTGTGAAACAGAAATACTGCATCAACAAATGTTGCATCAACAGCGTCTGGTGCATGTCCTTCTGCAGTTGTCATTTACTCCAATTTGTGCATTAAACTACTTTTGTCCGTCTTGTAAATGGAGCCATCTATGTGTCCTATCGAAAGTGGAACTGGGACAAGAGGGTAACTAAATACCTTTTTCAGATCAATGTATCTTGTTGAGCTTAAATACAACAAACGACAAAACAATGATTTTCCTGTCTTTTGATGTAATTTTTGACTTCAGGGCATCTGCAGCAAAATTTCTTACTTTTCTTCTTGGTATAGGTTTCTCAAAAGTTGTTGGATCTGAAAAGCAGCCTTTGATAAATTCTGACTCCCATTTTTGGCCAATGTCAAAACAATTGAGAAGATCATTGCGTGTTTCAGAGGTACACTGTTTCCCGTCGAGAGACAGTACAAATTGTGATCAGGTGCAGTATCAAAAGGGTTGAGAGTTGTAACGATTTTGTCTACAACTTTCCTTACATCCTCGTTGTCTCTTTTAACTCTTGAATCTTTCAATGTGGTAGATACATCATCCACTGACTTTAATCCTGCTTTCTCAAGTAAGCCTCCAATAATACCACTTCTCATAGATCGAGTCAGCATCCAACGTCTACGTGCTGATTCGGAGTTGTTAAAACCGACAATACCAGTTTGTCTTGAAGCTGCATCAGCATTAATTGTTTGCTCAAGTGCCATATCGACTGGTGTACGAGAGAAATTTTATCTGTTCTTCTTATAGATAAAGCTCCACCTTCTAAGACTTCTTTCATCCCTGGATGAGTTTCGGTGATGTTAAGTAGGTTGTAGTAATACCTGACCATCCATCTGGCATAATTGGGCCGATTCATTGCAAAGAAAACTGGACACATGTCTTTTAGTGAATCAACAAATAATGATAGATTTTCGTTCTACTGGCTCGATTGAATTTAAGGTATATGGAGACCAGATTTATATATATCATCCAGAATTGGGCAGTACTACCAAGATCTCCTTTGAGTGTTTGCTCTGTAAAGGCTTCATAACGTGTCATGAAATCTTCGTACTCTGGAGAGGATTCAATTATTTTCATGTGTTCCTCAGATGGGTCAGCAGCTAACGTCGTCATATTTTGTACTAATGCTTCAGGAAGATGTCCTTCTTCTGAAAAAAAATCTTTTGACATGTAGAGACTTAAAGGCACACATCAACACCTGATGAAGTCTTGTGCATCTGTTAAAATGTTTTCCCTTTAGGAATCCATTTATAGATCCATCAGCTAACACTTCAGTGTCACTTAAGATTTCAGGAGCACCAGAACCATCTAGGAAATATCCAATTGCTCCGAAGTAGGACAGAATGATATGAAATGCACCAAAACATATGAAAAGATTATCAAATGCTGGCGATTCTGATGCTTGAATCTGCAGGGCTGGTCTTGCAACAGCAAGGTCATATGTAACTGCCATGTATTTATCACCACATTCTTCAGCAACTTTCTGGGATCTGCGCATTGTTTCAACTACTACATCAAGTCGTGTGGGTGGAAAGGAAATATTTTCCATATAGGATATTCTCTGTTGAGGCAAATGGTCTTTTTCAAACAAAGAATTCCATCCTGTCCACATTGGAGTATTATCAAGGACTGAAAAATTCAATATCCAAAATGTATCAAGTCTCTCTATTCTAGTAAGGCATTCTGGTTTTTCTGAGTCCTTTATCTGGTACTGAAACAATGACATTTTTGGTTTCTTTCTGTATGGTGCGAGTTCCGTATCATTTGCAAGGAGACTTCGTTTTGAACGAGACTTTAAATAATGTTTTGGTGACACTTGCTTGTGTCCCTTGTTGTTTTCTGGTCTACGGTAAGTATCTTCCCCATTGCCTCTAGTTTTTATTTCTTTGATTAACCCCCCCCCCCTTCCCCGGTCTTCTGGGACTTCCCCTTTGTGGGCCTATTATTATTTTCTTTGAATTCCTAATCAGTTACAAATTATTTATAATTTAATGATTAACGTGTCGTTGCCCTGTCCTTTTTATGTTTGGGGTCCGCCTGGGCTCCTTGCCGTTGGTTCTTGTTGCTGGGTCATATGGGAGTTGCGTTCATTGAACGCCGCCTTTCCTTGTTGATCTTGTTTTTCATATTTTAAAGGTTCTTTAACCACTTTTGCAAGATATTGTTCATCAGTCTGCATCTCATTATGATGCTGCTTTTCATTTCCAACAGGAAAGGGAACATTATGTTGAACATTCTGGTAACAAATTCCAACTGTGTCATGAAGAGTCCCAGACCCAGAAAGTGTTTCTGTGTTTTCATCATAGTTGTCCCAGGCAAGTCCTGTAAAAAGACCAGGTTCCTTAAGAATGCCATCAGGCGTTGTCATATGTCTATCTATTATTTCAGAGGCTATCTGTGTTTCTAACTCTTCAACAATGTGGTAACTTACTGAA